GCTTTGGATGGTGGGAGGCAGGGAGCCAGCACCCCTCAGCCTTGTCCTGTTCCGCAGTGGAGGAGCCAGGCATCATTTTTGCTCGGCTCAGCCTCGCCCCCGGGGAACTGTGGACCAAAGCAGCAACAAAGGCAGGGCTTGAACTGGGCGGAAGCCAGAGGGGCAAGCCAGGGTCAGAGCTAGGCAGGAGGCTGCCAGAGCCCAACAAGGCTGATACACCCACGCTGAAAAAACCGGGTGAGAATCGGGCAGGATAAGAAAATCTAATAAACAAGCTAACAAACAGCCAAGTAGGGGGGAGGAGACTGCAGAGAAGAGATAAACAAAGATGAGAAACACCCTGTGGGGGGCTTGGAATGTCAGACCCCAGAAAGTCTGACTGAATGTGGGCCAGGGAAAAACTGGGAAGCATTCAGGAAGATAGCTCAGCAGAAAGGCAAGCCGGCTGCAGGAACGGAGAGGAATGGAGGAATGGAGCACGGACGGGTTGGCGGCGGGTGAGGCAGACTCGAGAGGAAGGTGGGGCTCCCAGTGACAGGACAGCTGACACCGTCAGGCAGCTAGCTTTAGGCTTCTGAGTGGGGGCAGGGGATACAGGTACACTCAGCAAAGGCAAGGGGAAGCTTACCCCCACACCGGGGAGCAAACCCAGGCCTTGAGCATGGTATGTGAGCACTGTACCACTGAGCTGCATCGCCAGTCCTTAGCTAGATTTTTTGGGGTTTTTCTCCGGTACCGGGAATCGAACTCACGATCTTGTGCTTGCCAGGCAGGCGCTGTGCTGCTGAGCTAAATCCCCAGCCCCTCTTAGCTAGATTTTTGACAGGCTTAATGTGCAAGCCTCTTTTGGGGGCAGGGGAAGAGGGGACAGTTAGGGGTGAATATTCCCAAGGCCTACAACTCGGGTGGCCATCCCGAAGACCCAGCACAGCACCACAAACAGAGATCAAAGCAGGAAGGACAGGAGACAGAAGAGAACCACAAAAGCAAACTGCAGTAAAGGAGCTTGCTAGCCTTTAGCTAAATCCCTTAGATCAAAGTGAGCAGGAAGCCAGTGCACACTCCTGTAACTGGAGGCTGAGGCAGGAGGATCACAAGTTTGAGGCCAAGCCAGGCAGTTTAGCAAGACTTATCTCAAAATACTAGATAAGAGGCCAGGCATGCTGGCAATCTGAAGGCTGAGGCAGCAGGATTACTCCGAGTCTGAGGCCAGACAGAGCTCCATAGTGAGATCCTGTCTCAAAAACACAAAACACGAGCCGGGCGTGGTGGCGCACGCCTGTAATCCCAGCACTCGGGAGGCTGAGGCAGGAGGATCCTTGTGAGTTCGAGCCAGCCTGGGCTACAAAATGAGCTCAAGGCCAGCCTGAACTGCATAGCGAGACCCTGTCTCAAAAAGACAAAAAAACAGAACAAAAACACAAAACACTACATAAGGAAGGGCTGGGGGTATAGCTCAGTGCTTCCTGGGTTCAGTCCCCAGTACCATCAAGACAAAAACAAAGTGTTTTTGCAGTACAGTTGCAAGAAAATGCAGATAGGCCTAGGATAGTAAATTAGAGCCAGGCGTGATGGGGAACACCTATAATCCCAGCACTGAGGAGGCTGAGGCAGGAGGATCGCTGAGAGTTTAAGACCAGCCTGGACCGAAAAGTGAGTTCAAGCCCAGCCTGAGCTGCATAGTGAGACCCTGTCTCAAAAAGGCAGAAAAAAAGGATAGTAAATTAGGCTTTTATCTAAAGACTTTTTTCCTAAAACTTCTAAAGTGGTTCCACAAGTTCTAATCTTCAGACATCGAAAATGGTGATGGTAATGCTGAGATTTTTGAGTGCTTGCTATGTGCCAGGCACGGTGCTAATCTCTTCACATGTAATTTAAACCTTACATCTGGGCTGCAGATATAGCTCAGTGGCATAAGCACCTGCCAGGCAAGTACAAGGTCATGTTTGATCCCCGGTACTGCAAAAAATAAATAAACCTTACAACCACCCTATAAAATATATATTGTGTATATTTTTTTTTGTCTTTTTGAGACAGGGTCTCTTTATGCAGTTCAGGCTGGCCTTGAGCTTCCTTTGTAGCCAAAGCTGGCCTTGAACTCACAATGATCCTCCTGCCTCAGCCTCTCAAGTGCTGCGATTACAGGTGTGAGCTACCATACCCAGTTTAAAATAGATATTGTGGTATTCCAATTTTTATAGAAGAAATTGAAAATCAGAGAGGTTAAGCAAGTTTCTTAAGGTCACACAGCCAGGAAGTAGAACTGGCAGGACTGACTGAAAAACCTGTGGTCTTAGCCATTTTAGTACATAAGAAAACCAAGGGACACAGGGAGGTCATTTGCCTGAGTTGGTTTTGCGCAGGCAGGCCCAGAACCCAGATCTGGCCCTGCTCCCAGGATTCTTTCAGAAGGCCACGTTGTCCCTTTCCCTGTTGGTTCACTGTTCCCAAGCCCAAGAAATTTAGGCCCTCCAATGGGCTCCCTGGTGTCTAATTAAATTACAATGAAAAAGAACAAAGTAGGTGTTTGTTACAAACTTAAAAATCAGAGGAAGAGAAGAAGCCTTTGAGGAACCGACTCACAGAAGTACAAAGAACTGGCATGATAAGAACATAAAAGATCTGAATTCAAAATGCCCTTGCAGGGCGGAGAGAGCAGTAAGTAGCAGCCCAGTTAGGTGCAGCAGGGGACACTGTGAGGGGTTAGGAGAGAACACAATGGAGACTCTCAGGACCCGCCAGCTGCTGCTCAGGGCTGCCAGGGCCCTCTTGGTGGGGCCCACGATGGAGGGTCAGACTGACCAAGCAGAGTCCTCACTTGGCCGCCCGAGAGCTAGCTGTGGAACCTGGGCAAGCCTCCCTGTGCTTCCCTCACCTGGAAACCAGGGACTGTTCGAGAGTTAAGACAGGAGAAGCGCTTACAGTAGGGCCTGGCCCAAAATAAGGGTCCAGTACGTGTTAGGGATTCCTAGCGCCACCTAGGGGAGCCTTCAACAGCGGGGGGGGCTTTATGAAAGATGGCAGAGGGAAAAGCTGGAATGTGGAAGCGATGGGTATTTTCAGGGAAAGATGACCCTGTGGGTCTGGAAGCTGGGGTACAGCACTGAATGTGAGGCTGAAAAGCTAGGGCACCCCGGGAAGGGCCTGGGGCCATTCTAGGGAGCCTGGGTGCAGCTCAAGTTTAGAACGCACATGGGATGGCCAAGCCAAGCTGGAGAGAAGAGAGGCAGAAAGCAGGAAACTCATCTGCTACCATAGCCCTGTCCTAGTGGTGAGTGTAGTGAGGCTGCATCAGGCGAATGGCCAGGACGCTCAGGAAGTCCACCAGTAAGCCCTGCTAACTGCCACAGACATGTGCTTGCAAACCTAAAAGGCATGTTACTGGGCAGACGCTCACTTGGATTAGGATTTAGAGAAAAGGCAAATCCAAAGGACCTATTTAATATGCCCCTTGGGAGATGAGAAGGATTATTTGACCATAAGATAAGGCAAAATGCAGGTGTGTGGCACAGGCCTGTAATCCCAGCACTCAGAAGGCTGAAGCAGGAGGATTGCCACATTATAGGCCAGCCTGAACTATATAGCTAGAGCCTGTCTCAAAAGAGAGAGAGAGAGAGAGAGAAAAGAAAGAGCACAGCGGGGCAGGCCAGCACAACCTCTAATCCCAGTTACTTGAGAGGCTAAGGGAAGTGGATCTCAAGTTTGAAGCCAGCCTAGGCAATTAATTGAGACCTTGTCTCAAAAGAAACAAGGGCTGGGGATGTAGCTCAGCTCTCCCTGGGTTCAATCCCCACTACTGCCAAAAAAACTGTTAACGTCAATTTAAATGAGCTCTGAGTAATCGGAACTCAAGAAGCTGGGTTATTACTGCCCATCTTCATTCAACCATTAAGCCAAGAGGCTTCCAGGTAAACCAGGCACAGTGAGATAAACTCCAGGGCCAAATTCCAGGAACTGCTGAGTCAAGAGAGCCGCTTTCAAGACCTCTGGCCTATGAAAATCCACTTACGCACAAGGGGAATTGTCAGACCATCTCTGAACCCTTGGAGATCACATTTGAAAGCTTGCAGGAGGGTACAAAGCAAGAAAAACAGGAGAGCGAGGGTGACCCCTTGAGACAGGCAACATAAGGATTTCAGCGAAGTTCCAAAGCCTAGGGGCACGGTTACAGTCTTATCATTTTCCTCCCAGCAGTGCAGTCCTCTCCCCTCACCATCTGTGCCACCCCTCCTGCCCCACCCCCACCTTGTCCCGGGCCCCTGTGGCTGTGACTTAGAGCTGTGCCTGGAAAGCAAGCCCGATGTTTCCTCCTCACCCTGCAGACTCACACCATCTTCTCACTCCTGGGAGTGGACCATGCTTACGTCACCAGCATCGGCAGGCTCATTGGAATTGTTACCCTAAAGGAGGTAAGCGGACAATGGCCACCACGGCCATTCCCGCACGCAGGGAAGTGGGGAAGCTTATGTCCCATGCCCCTGGGGGAAGTCCTGGAAAGGAAGGTGGCCACAGGGCTCCAAGTTCAGACATCTTACGCTCACCTCTCCAGCTCCGGAAAGCTATCGAGGGCTCCGTCACAGCCCAGGGCGTGAAGGTCCGGCCACCCCTTGCCAGCTTCCGAGAGAGCGCCACCAGCAGCAGTGACACAGAGACCACAGAGGTGCATGCACTCTGGGGGCCCCGGTCCTGCCGCGGGCTCCCCCGAGACGGCAGCCCTTCTGACAGCGACAAGTGCCAGTGAGCCCCTCAGTGGGTGGCCTTGGATGGCGGTAGCTACAGTCCTTCTGCCTTGGGAAAGCAGGAAGCAGCTCCAGCCAGAGGCCGGAGCCCAGCCCTCCATCCAGACCTGGGGTGCTGCCTGCTACCAGCCCACCCCCAGCAGCTTTCCGAGGGCGAGAAGGGTCATGTGGCCCCTGCTCCCCCTTTGAGGGGGAAAGGGACAGAACTAAGATGGATTTATACTGGAACCTCCAATGACCAGATGTATATAGAGATTTACAAAGATTTTTATATTAATTTAATAAAACAAATTCTTAAATAGAACAAAATAAACACCTAATGAGCCACTTATATAGAGAATGCTTACACCCACTGGCTCCTGTTCTTACCTTGGGTCCTCCTACCTGCCAAAGCCTACAAGGCTCCTAATCCTGCGGCCACCTACCCTGCCCACAGCCCCACACACCTCGAGTCCCGTGTCCTCGGAATGCAGAACGTGCCACTGGCCGCCACCGCTTGGGCATTAACACTACTGTAGCCACGGCCAGGAACGGCACTACCCTCCTTCCTCCCTCATGACTGTCACTGAGTGACACAATTCTGGCCTTGCTCAGGCGTCAGCTGACAACTTTCTGGCCACCGGTGGCCCCCTTGTGGCCCTCTCTAGAAGAACATCAAAACCACACCTCAGGAGAAAGCCAAGGCCCCACCCTTGTAGCCCTGCCCTGCAGAACTCCTTGGGTGCCCACACATCCCTGGGGGCCCCAGCCCTCTCAGGGACCCAGGAAATTAATTCGTCATTCCAGTGCCTCCTAGAGAAGATCCAACTAAAAGAACAGACCAGAAGCCCTCTGTCTTTAGGAAAAAAGAAGATGATTTAGAGACGATGGAAAGGTGAAGCACAGCACGCGCCCAGCTGGGCAGGGGCCCTTAGGGGACGGCTGACCCACGGGCTCCGGGCAGGCAGGAGCCCGCCCCCCAGGAGGAGGTGGTTCTGTCAAGCACTGCACGTGGACTCAGAGGTGAGGACAGAAGCAGAGAGGAGTGACGGGGGGAGGCGGCCAGGTCCCGCCCTCTTCACCCCCCAGCCCAGTCACGTCGAGCCCCTCAGGGGCTCACGTCATCTGAGGAGGAAATGTGGCAAGTTTTGGACTGAAGAACATGAACATCATTGTCTGCCACAGCTGTAGCCATGCCCCAGGGGCCCCGGGCACACCCCGGCAAGCCCCAGGAGTGGGGGCAGGACATGCGCCCCCAGCCCGGCCTCTGCCTCCGCTCCAAACACTTTCATGCAAAACACACAATGGAGAAGGGAGTGCTCCCAGGAGCCCTCTAGCTGTGGAGCTTGCTGAGAGCCCCAGCCCACACCTGGGCACAGAGGCTCGGCCCCCAGCAGCAGCCAGGGGACGCAGGCCACCAACAGGCAGGATGTGGGTCACTGTTCCTCAGGCTCCACCTCATCCTCGTCTAAGGACACCACCCCAGAAGAGGCCACGTCAGAAGCTTGCCGCTGCCGTTCCCAGCTGCCCACGGGCGGAGGACAGAGCGGCTGGCAGTCCTTGCAAGGGTCCGGCTCCTCCTCCGCTGGGGAAAGGCAGGACTCCGTGAGGGGCGAATTGTAGAGGGAGTCCTGGGCCTCCAGTGGACCCAGGCTGCGGAAGGCACTTTCCCGGCTGGGGGGCAGTTTGGCGAGGAGCAGCTCGTCGCCCAGCAGCTGGGAGGTCAGCCGGGCCGGGGAGCCCAGCAACCCATCCTCCAGGCTGCACAGGCTAGAGCACAGGGTGTCTGGGGAAACGGTCTGCGAGCAGTCGCTCTCAGGCTCCACGGAGCCCTGGCGCACGGGCCGAGAGAATCGGCGGCCGGTGAAGAGGTCCTGGAGGTGGGGCCCCAGTGGCAGCTGCCCGGCCAGGTCTGTGAGAGGAGAGAAAGGATGATGGGTCTGCAGGCCCCATTTTGGCCAGCCAACCTGGAAGCCAAGCACCCCAGCCCCACTCCATCCTTACCAGAGCTCTGGGAGTAGGGGGCTTGGATGGGGGCTGGGGAACCTTGGGCAGGTCCCAGTTTGGGCAGCTCTATTTCCCTTCCTGGTGAATTAGAGATCCTAACTATACCTACCATGCTTGTGGGGTAGTGGGGAGAACAAAAGCATGGCTCAAAGGAAGCAGGCAGCCAATATGGGCGATGGAATATGGCCCTGCAAGTTGCTCCTGCACAAAGCAGTGAGTGCATGAGGACTGCAATTCATCCCACACTTTGCTCCCCACGCAGCAGGCCCTGGCATGGGCTGAGCCCACCAGAGAAAGGAGAGGTCTTTTCATAATTGCGTCAAGGTTCCATGGGGCCAGCAACAACCTTGTTATCGTGAATTCAAGCAAACAAAAACCCTTGTGGCTGGGATTCCAACTTGCTCTTGGGCACCCGTATCAGTACCCTCAGGACCACAGCAGCACTCTGAGTCTCTAGTGTCCGAGGCCTTGTTAATTAGCCAGAAGGGTGGGGAGCTAGTGGAGGTGATCTTCCAAGGCAAGGAGGTGGGGAGCAGGATCCTGTGAGGCTGGAACCCAGAAGCTTCAGAGAAACTCGGCTGAGCAGTCCGGGCAAGGAAAGATGAAAGAGAGCGGAGCACAGCTGCACAACCCCACGGGGTGCCCTCGGCAAGCACTGCCCCTAGAAGGGCCCACAGGCTGGAATGCACGGATGCTGAGCTGTAGCCAACAGCCCTGGGGGAGCCCAGGCCCAGCACGTCTTCCTGTTTGTCTGGGGCCGGTGCCCTACGAGGGGCTGTGCCACTGCACTGCGCCTCATCTGTCCTGCCATAACCGGGAAGGAGGAAGGCAAGGGCGCTGTGGTCCCTCCCAGAGATACGGCTACACAGGAGGGTGCACGGAGCCCCCGACCTTTTTTGAGGACTGCAAGGCCCGCCTGCATACATTCCTACAGGTGAGGCTCAGCACCTGTAGAAAGAACTACACCCTCCCTTTCCAAGTGCTAACTTCCCACCCCTGAGTGTGGCCTGCCTGCTCCCACCAGGTGTCCAGGTCTGCCTGGACCGTCTGCGCCCTCCCCTCCCCTTCCAAAGCCTGGGGGTGTTGGAGTGTGACTCTGAGTCTCAGACCTATTAGGCAGATCCACTCCAGCTGGCAGTTCTAGCACACAATGCCCCTCACCTGTGTCAGTTCCTCCAACGAAGTCCTCATCGTAGGAGTCATCAGTAGAGTCATCACCATCCACTGAAGACCATGCTCGGAGCTTGGCTTCTGCGATAGCAAACTGTTCGGCCACTCCTGTTGCAGGGACACAGAATTCATGAACAGAGTTGCTGAGCTAAGACAAGGGCTCAGCTTGCAGACAGGAAGGAGACTCAACCCCCATGTTAGACCCCAGCAAGATCAGAGGCAGCAGCCCTGCGACAAGCGTGTGGCTGCCCTCTCTCCTTTGTGCCACCCACCTGCTGCAAAGCGAGCCTCTTGTTCACCCTCACTGAGGTCCGAATAGGAGGAAAAGGCTGATTCCAGGGCAGCAGGTGAGTCACTGGGCTTGCTCCAGCCCTTCCATTCAATGAGGTGAGCCACTCGGCCTTGGGCCATGGCCGTGGGCTTGGTCACGTGGTCCTTTACCACCTGGGAAATACCTGGAAGTGGGGGAAAGAAAGGCCTGATAAGGGAATGAATGGGCCAGGAAAGCAAGGCCATAGTTAGGATCCATGTGTGCCTCTGAGGGGGGAGGAAGGTGATCCCAGAAAGCACCCACAGAAAACAGTCCCAAAAGACAAGTGCAAAAGGGAGCAGAAGGAACATAGCGGCAAGAGGCATGGGGGCGGCGCATACCATGCAGGGAAGATCTGGCCAGCGCGGCAATCTCCTGGATGGTTAGGGCTCTCCGGGACTTGGGCAGCATCGCGACAGTGTCTCCAACATTCACCTTGAGTGACACGATCAGAAGGTGAGTGCCCGTCTGACAGCAGTGACCTTCCCTCCAACAGGCCCACAGCACCCCCTCCAGGTATCAGGGGACAAGGGACCTGGGGAGAAGGCCTGGGAGGCACATTCACCCTAGTAGCTCCTGGCCAGCACCGAAGCACAAGAAGCTACACCAGCAAAGTGCCCTCACAGGGAGCAGTGGCAACTTGTACAGGCCCCAGGGAGGAGAGGTGTCGCCAACTCTCAGCCTGCGGGGTGTTTCCCATCTTGTTGGCACCCCCTGCTCCTGCTCCCCCCAAGGCACACCAGGAAGTGAGGAGTCATGGAGTGGGGCTCTGAGGAAAGGGAAGAGGAAGTAGCGAGAAAGGTAAGACGTTAAGGACTTCCTGAAGGTCCTCTCCCTTTGAGCTCCCCCCATGCTCAGGACCAGACTCTAACTGTTCCTAGCCACAAAGTCAGCACAACCAAAATCAAACCAACACTTTCTCCCCACTTCCCAATTTCCTTACTTTGCACCACCCCACCGTTCTCCCAGTCAGCCTGGCTCCAAACCTCAGCAGTGCCATCAACTGTTCCCTAAGCATCTCCTGCCCATATCTGTTATTAAGTCCTAGTGACTCCTCTGACAACACCTTGCCCTTTGTACTCCCACTGCCACTGCTCTTCCCTGAGCTCTGGATGCCCTCTGCCCAGGTTAGCACAAATCATGTTTCTTCAACTTCCTCCAACTCTGCTATTGGCTATTTTTACATTTATTTATTTATTTAGTTAGTTAGTTAGTTAGTTATTGGAAACAGGGTCTCACTATGCAGTTCAGGCTGGCCTTGAACTCATGTAGCCCAGAACTATGTAGCCCAGGCTGGACTCAAACTTGCAGCAATCTTCCTGCCTCAGCCTCCCGAGTGCTGGGATTATAGGCGTGTGAAACAACACCCAGCTTTCTGCTGTTTTCTTAGCCCCAAACATGTATGGATTTCTTCTCTCTCCCTCTCTCCCCATGGCTGGCTGGTTCTCTCATCCTTCCAGGCTGGGCTGAATATCACCCTCTCGGAGAAGTCTCCGGGAACATCCTGCCAGCAATCTGTTCTCCCTTTGTAGTCTCCACCAAATTACTGTCCCACATCAATGTACCAGTTTGTGGCCCTTACTCGCAGTATGTAATTATGACCTATGTGTTTCCTTTTTCTTCTTGGCCTCTCTCATTGAGGGTTTCAGTTTGTTGCGATCACTGCTGCACCCCAGTGTTTTAGCATAGTGCCTAATACAGAGTAATCTCTCAAAGTGCATAGGCCGAATGAGAGAGACAAGATATACATGTGAACAGTTTTCCTGGAGTGCAGCGCTTCACAGCATGTCTCTATTAAAATCCTTTCCGTCCAATGACATTAGGGCAGGCTTCCCTCAGGCCCTCAAGGGCCCTACTCTGTGAGGCCCCTGCCTCCTACAGACCTTGCCCTCTACCACCAATACCACGCACCCCTCACCTTCCCTTTCCTCCCGGAAGAGGAGCCCAGCCTTCCCTTGGCCAAGAAGACCATCCTTCCTGATAAACCCGTCCTATCATTTCAGGTCTGTCTCAGGTGCCACTTCCTAATAATGCTTTCAGCCCACACGCTCCACCCCCCCCCCCATGTCCTTTCATAGCTCCTGAGGGAGCCCAGGATGCCAAGGCCTAAGTCTGACATGCCTGTGTTCCTAACTCCACCCTGCACCTGGCTCCTAGATGAGCCTCCAGCAAAGGCTTCCCTCCATGAATGGAGGCACACCCCTCTCCCCAGCACTGCCTAGCTCCCCCTGTTGCGTTCCTACCCAACACCAGAGCAGCTTCAGCCAGCCTGCTGACCTCAGGCCCACCCTCTGTCCTTCCCTGTTAGTACCTGGCTGACAGGGCCCTCTGGCCAGGCCTGGGGGGAGGAGCACCTGCGGGGTGTTTCCTGTCTTGCTGGCCCTCCCTGCTCCTGCTCCCCCCAGCCACCGCCGCCATCCGTGCTGGCTCTATGCGCAGCTGCGGCCCAGGCCCAGAGAAAAGGTGTATGTCTCCCTGGCAACCCATCACCATGCAACAGGGTCTCCTGGGATACGGCCTGGGATGCGCTGACGTCAGCGCCAAAGGCGCAAGAGAGCCCGCCCGCTGGCACGCCGCCGAACAGAGCAGACCGGCGCGGGGGCGGCCTTGCGGCCCGCCGGCCGGATAGCGCCTCCGCTCGCAGGAAAAGGGAGCCCGAGGCAGGCTGGTGAGGCGGGGGTGGGGGACACAGAGCTCCTGTACGCGATTGCAGCAGCACCACCACCCCCAACACCAGGGCCCAGCACCTCTGGCAAGTCCTGGCTGTCCACGGAGGAAGGACGGGAGGACCGGCTCCAGCCTCGGAGGGTCCGAGCAGATCCCAAAGAGGATAGTGAGAGGCCACGCGGAAGTTCGATCCACTCGACAGCCCACGCGGGGTCCGAGGCCACTGCGGAGTGGGCGAAAGGCTGTTCAGCTGGGGCCCCACCTGCGCTAAGATCCCCGTTTGCATCCAGTGATGCCCAGTTTCATCATTTCTTACCATCCTCTCCCCACCTCCCGGAATACAGCGACCACCTGGTGCCTTCTCAATCCTGTTTGACCCTGGAGCTGTTTTCTGTGGCAGCCCACCGGCCACCGTCCTCCTCTGCAAATATTTTTCTTTCCTATCAATATTTTGCCACCAAAACTCTAGGGAGAAACCCAAGCAGATAAATTTTAAATCTTTTCCCAGGTTCTCAGCCTGCCCAAACCCCTTCGGAAAACGCACTACAGTCTCCCCCATCTCTGCCCCAACCTCCGCGGGTAGCTGCCCGCCTCCTCTCCACTCCCAGCCTTGGTTCTTTCTTCCCCCGTCTTGGCTTCTCTATTCTGCAGCTTTTTACTCGTCTTTCCTATCAGACGCTTGCTTTTTTGTTTTTCTGTCCAATCTTCACCCCTGTCCTAAAGCCTTCTCCGGATGCCCTTCCTGGCACCAGTCTGGTTCTCGTTTCAGCCAGAGTAAATTTCCTCTCCCCATCTGAGCACCTTACTCCTCGCTGCCCACCACCTCCCAGATCACATCGGCTGCCTCTGGTCTCACCTCTGCGACTTGTCTGACAAGTCCATCGTCCTCCAGGCCCTTCACGCTGCCACAGAAACATTTTGCCCAGCACAGAAATCATAGGCATGCTGGCTGTGTTGATGCAGAGAACCAAAAGCCCAGAACTGCTCCAGGCTCAGCTCCCAGTTCTATTCCTGTTTTGGCTCCGGATGCTGAGCCAATCCCCTCCCCACTTGGAACTTGTGCCTAGTCACATAAGGAGAACACTCCTGCCTCGTGGCTTTGAGGAGGTGGGAGTGCCAGAGGCCTAGCTGAGCTCTCTGGGGGTTGGGGAGCCATGGCCCACCCCTAGATAGTGCCAGCAGGCCACGTACATCAAAACTGACCTTTAGCTGCAGCAGCCGTCTCTGTCCCTGAGCCTCAGCCAGCTGGTGGTCCCCAGAAATGCTACCAACCAGAAGGAAGACAGTAGGTTACAGGCCATCCCTGGCCCCCAGCTGGTACCCAATCGGGGCTCTGAAGGCCAGTCCTGAGGTCGGCCAAACTCTCCTCGGACTCCAGGAGGGGATGACTTCCTCAACTCCAAGCAGGCCACCGGGATCAGAGCAGCCTGCTGCTTCTCAGCCTCAAAAGCCATGAGGTTAATTCAGGACTACAAATCCCAGAATTCCTCAAGGCAAGCACAAATCTCAACAAGAGTTGAGCTCTGAAGAAGCTCTAGAAGTACCAACCACACGAAGGCCTGTGTGACTGACCACCCGCCCCGAAGACCCGATCCAGACCCGGCCGTCACCATCACAAGTCCCCGCGTGGCCTCAGGCTTGCACGAAACTCTGGACACCGAAGTGAAGCAGGCGGGCACACCTCACATGCACAAGACTAAGGCCTCCGTGTGCGCCACGATCCATGGAAAGCCAAGCCCAGGCAGGGGTCAGCTGCCGTGCGAAGGAAGCCCTGATGGCCTCCCTCCGGGGGCCTCTGCCTCTCTAGGGCCCAGGTGACTTGGTTTTTTATGGCGGGGGAGAATTAAACCGTTGTAAGAGGCGAGAGAGGATCAGGTGCTCACAGGTCCCCTCATCAACCAGCTGACCCGAGCGGGGAGCGTGTGCGAGGCAAAACCTCGGCGGGCGGGTGCCTGGCCGGCGCCTGCAGGGGGGCTCCTCAGAGGGCCAGCCCGGGAGGAGGGTGCCCGGCGCAGGCGGGGCTGCTGCCCGGCAG